GCAGCTGTATCGAGAGGTCGATTCTTAAAGTGAAGCACGAAGCATGTGCAAATGTCCTTCGCTGTGGCGGTGTTCTTCGCCCTCGAACTGCTTTTCAAATCTAATTCCATGCTGGCCGGATCTCAAAGCTCTAGATAAACTGCAAAACTGGTTTAACGAAGCTCCAAGTTGACATGTGGATCGTAAATCTGCTGCTGCCTGTTATAATTCCATCTGCACACTGCATGCTGCTTACGATGATCACCTGCATGCATGCACACACCGCATGCATATCAATCGCCGCAACTCCAAAAAATCAAAAGCCAATGAGGCGAGGCTTTCCAGGGTTGCGAAGCTGGCAGAGGTCTGATGGAACCGCTTGTGATGCCTTGCGCATCTTCCAACGAACTGCCACGAATCGTTGGCTGCTGCGGTGTTGGACGGAAGCTGACACCTATTTTTGCGATCTGCATGGCATGGTGCCTGGACAACTCTTCCAAACACGGTTGGAACATTGTGATCACTGCCTGCACTCTTCCAGATGTTCCTCAGATGCAGCCACGCCAGGTCTCCAGGTCTGGCGGCAGACGCTTGTGTCATGAAGACAGAGTGGTGGCTGGTTCGTTTTGCAGTGGCCACCATTGTGGTTTGTGAATCTTTTTGGGTTGCCGATTTTGTTCGTAGCATTCGGCATTCCGGTTAGTTCTTCAGCAACCTCGACATCGTTTCATGCGAAACTTTGGCGCAAGTAGCGGTTCAATACTACGGCACGGAATCAGTAGCAGCAAACTATTCACCACTGCCATGCTCCTTGCATTGTTCGTCCATCTTGCAACATGGAAGACATCCGTCTGCTCAGACACCTCACATATCCCAGGCATTCGCAACATAAATGCTGCCGTTGGGATGGTTGCCTTCCATTCCAAGAAAAAATGCGTATTCGATGCTCACTGGCGGCGCTCTGGCATGGCGAGCGCGTTGGTTCATCTATGGCCTCCGGATGCCCATCTGACTTGGTCGCCCCCCATCTGGAGTTTGGCAGCATCTTGAGAACATTGCACCTCCTTCGAACGTGTCCCTCCCATGGAACGTTCACGGCACGCGCTCTTTTCCCCCGTGGATAGAGGCCTGGGTTTCCGTCAGGGGCCTCAAAACATCAACATGTCGTAGTACACGGGCTGAACTGCCACCCCCCGATGGAGGTGGTCAGTCCACCACGTGTGCTGCCCGTATTGCATGTTTGCCACACCCTTGCAACCTGCTATGCGTGCTTTCTTAACGCTGCTCACAGGCAGTATCCATGCCTTCATCCCGTTTCTAGGGGAGCCTGCCTCACGTTCTAGCTTTGGGAGATCGCGTTGCCAGCGAGTCAGACTCTCCTTTCAGTAGTTTCTAGTTGTGGTTGCGTGGTCACACACTGCATCCTTCAGCTTGCAGTCTTCGGTACTTCGGTTGCTCGTGTGTTCTACCGCCAAAAGGAGAGTCTGCTCGTGCAAGGGAACACTCGTGTTAGATGTGTCGGTTGTAGACGATTTGTGGCTAGAGATAATGCGATGTTCAGAACTAGTACTGTGCTTGCTCAGTTTGTTTTAACATCGTTTTTCCTAGCGACGGTTGCTGGATTCATGCTTGGTCGCATTTAGCCACAAAGCGGCTCAAGTCATTCGACACGTGTGCGACAAAGTGAAAGTCACTCACCCGCCCACCCTGTGTGCTTCGCTTCACTGTGTACAGTTCAATGCCTCAGCCATTCATCGTTAGGCGTTTAATTGTCTTCTTGCTAAGATGTGCTTTTCAGTTCTGTAGCGTTTGCGCTGAGGTTCAATTCTGCTTATCGGGGTTCCACTCAACAGTTTGTGGAACTTCTGTGTACAGGGGCGTTGGTTGCGTGGTCACACACTGCATCCTTCAGCTTGCAGTCTTCGGTACTTCGGATGCTCGTGTGTTCTACCGCCAAAAGGAGAGTCTGCTCGTGCAAGGGAACACTCGTGTTAGATGTGTCGATTGTAGACGATTTGTGGCTAGAGATAATGCGATGTTCAGAACTAGTACTGTGCTTGCTCAGTTTGTTTTAACATCGTTTTTCCTAGCGACGGTTGCTGGATTCATGCTTGGTCGCATTCTCTAGCCACAAAGCGGCTCAAGTCATTCGACACCTGTGCGACAAAGTAAAAGTCACCCACCCGCCCACCCTGTGTGGTGCTTCGATTCACTGTGTACAGTTCAATGCCTCAGCCATTCATCGTTGGGCGTTTAATTGTCTTCTTGCTAAGATGTGCTTTTCAGTTCTGTAGCGTTTGCGCTGAGGTTCAATTCTGCTTATCGGGGTTCCACTCAACAGTTTGTGGAACTTCTGTGTACAGGGGCGTTGGTTGCGTGGTCACACACTGCATCCTTCAGCTTGCAGTCTTCGGTACTTCGGATGTTTGTGTGTTCTACCGCCAAAAGGAGAGTCTGCTCGTGCAAGGGAACACTCGTGTTAGATGTGTCGGTTGTAGACGATTTGTGGCTAGAGATAATGCGATGTTCAGAACAAGTTAGTCCTGCTTCAGGCATGAACAGCATGCAAATTATGCTGTGCAACAGCAAATTTTCGATGCTTCCGCTGCAGCACATCGTGCAGTTCCACATCCAGCCTACCGTGTGGGCGTGCGAACTCGGATGCCAAGGACAAAACGACACTCGTGAGATCAACTACATCCAGTACAAAACAAAACAAGCGTACGTCAACGTCAAGCGACCCATCGCCTTACGGCGTCACATCAACATGCCACTGAACTACAAGTCGTCACCCATTTTGTGTACTACTAGGCGGTGCTCGAGACTACAACGAAGTCCAGCGCCATTTGTCGCCTGACAGCAACATGTAAGACAGCTTATGTACATATCCGCAAGTGCCTCGCCACACAAAGTGGCAACACGCCATCGTTCCTTTAGGCCGTTTCACAAGACCGCCTCGTACTTTTAGACATTTCCACCACATACCCATTCAAACCTCAAAGTGTTCCTGAAACAACGCAGTTTCACTCACTGGCGATTGATTCAGCTATCATTGTTTCAATATCGCAGACTGTATGTTCGTGCACTTTTCACCCTTGAATTTGCTTAGCACTCCCACACGGGAGAATACAATCAGCAATTGCGCAAAACAACTTCACACAATGTGCTGTCGGAATAGTGAGCATTATCAGTGAGCCACTGTGTCCGCAGCCATTCCGTCTCCTTACATGATTTTCGGCAAAGTGGTTGACACGTATCGCAGCAGAACACCTCCGCCCCAGCCAGTTCTTCGGCACTGGACATGGCGCCCAACTACCGAAAGTGATGGCAGAGTTGTGGGTGGTGGCGTTGGTTCGAAGTGACGTGTCAGTTGATTCGATCCAAAGCTCAACAGGATCGGCAACTTTTTTGCCTAAATGGAAACCAACCCAACTCGACATCTGATTCGCAAACGCAGTCACTCCATGTAAGGAGAATTGGAATTGGTTCGTGTTGCTGCCGACAACAATTGGCAACCTGCATTGATTAAGAGAGCTAGCCGAAGCCTTTTCAGAACCCTTCACTACATTTGCTAGATGGTAGCAGTGGAAAAGTTTGACCGAGCGAAGCAACCCTGCCACAAAACACGTCCATGCGTGTGCACCAGCACGTCATCGCCGATCAATGAGATTCCAGTTTGTTGCAGCAGCTGCCCCACACTAGTGGGGCTGTGTGTGTGAACTTCTAGAGCACATGGGAACAGAGGGTTACCCTTACATCGTTATGCTTTATTGCAGCGCAGGAGGACACAGCATGTCACTGGGACTGTGTCCAACGAAGCTACCAGTGCCATGGGAACAAAGGACTGATCATCCTCTTGTGAATGCAAGGCAGCCCTCTGCGGTGCCAAGATTAAATAAGCAAGGACAGCCCCGTGGTGTCCAGATTAGTTTTGCAGTAGCGCCGTGTCTTGTGTGAAACAACACCTCGCCTCACCCCCTGTCTCTCCAGCCTCTTGCTCTTGCCGAAATCCCGGAATCCCACAAGTGTGTGGCGTTTACACCTGCTGTGACATGAGATCGCAGCTTTTTTGTTTGCCATGCCCACCCAACTCCTGCTTGGCTCCCTCTCGGGATCTTGGCTGCTCGCCTGCGCCGGAGTTGCGGAAATCATGTGTGTACATGCAGTTTGTTTGAAAGGGCCGAAACTAGGAAGGAGGTGACGCAAGACAAACGCATGGTTTGAACAAGAGGCCGCGTTAAGCAGTGAATGGAGTCATCAAGCAGTGACTGCACAAATTCAGGCATGCTGCCAGGGCCTGCGTTAGGCTACATGTGCCAGCGGCCCTAAAGCCGAAGCCCTCCTTTTTTGAGCGCGCATCCCAATTCAAACCCGAAGCTGGGGAGCTCGGTAAGACCGATGTGGTTCGTGTACTTGCCAGCAAGCATCCGAGAGTCGCGCGGATCTCAGCCCGTCGTGTGACTTCCGCACGGCCCTAGCTTGACACAACGGCCGGCACGTCAACAAGTATGCTTCGCACAGTCCTGATAACAACATCATGTATGAACGCGAAATACCCAACAGATCTAGAATCCTCCTGCCAAGCTACCGCGCATGCACGCACAGAGTATCTACACCAAGCCCGTGAACCTGAACTCCAAACCCAGCACCCCGGAAAATGGGCTCACAGTGCCCACCTACCTCGACTCGGAGCTGAAACTGAGAGCAGGTGCCATGGCCCCTGAGGCGCCGACATGCGGACGATCCCAGACCAGGCGCGTCATTGTTGCAGATTGCAGATTGCAAGCTTGGTGGGGGGGATTTCAAAGTTTTTCGGGTGTTGGGTTTAGGATTATTTTGAGATTCACCGATCTCAGGATCTGCAAATTCCTAGTCAGGAGCTTTGATTCCAAGCAGCTGAGTCACATCCCCACGTAGTTCACGGAGGTTCCAAATCCCGGTGGCTCCCTGCTTATCCTGCTTGAAAAGATACCATCCGGCTGACTGGAGCCTGTGCCGCCATGGCAGCTGCAGAGATGCCAGAGGCGAAGAAAGCCAAGACAGATCCATCCGTGAAGTATCCGGAGCAGGATGCCCGATGGCCTTAGTAAGGGATTGTCTGCGTGTGTAGGGCTGGACGATTAAGACTACTAAGACTGTAAGCCCGACATCCCAAACCTTGAACGCAACACCCGAAACAGTTTAAAGGCTGCAGTACGTCCTAAGCCCTCGAGACTATGGCTTTAGGCCCTAGCCCCTACACCATACTGCCTGCAACCCGGGGACACCACATCCCAACGCTCCGAAGTAGCATCCCAGGACCTCTCCGAGGTTCTGGGAAAGCATATTATCTACACTTATGAGAACGGCTGGCAGTACGAGATCTACTTCAAGAGTGCCGAGCCTTCAAGGACTTAAGCACCGTTTGTCTGACAAGGGGCCGTGGCAGTGGTTTTTGTCTGCGTGAAGGGCTTGGCATCTAAATCTCTGAACGTTTGAGTTTTGATTAGGGTTCAGGGTCTAGGTTTACGCTCTCTTTTCATGTGCCCGCAAGCCTGTGCATGCCGTGTGTGCAGTTTTCCTACCTCAGGATATGATCCACTACCGCATCCACAGTGGTCTCGTTGCTGGCCGCTGGGTCACAAACCGTGAGGTCTGCATGACTGCCCTCGGGAAGGGCCTGGTTCGCATCAACTGGCAGGATCTCTGAGACACGGGTTGAAAGTTTCAGCTTCTACATTCTGCATCTTCATCTTCATCATGACCATGAAGAAGATGATGATGATCACATCATTGCCAGAACCCATATGACGACAAAGCATGATGTGGATGGTGATGATGAAGATCATGATGATCATGATGATGATGGTGGTGATCTTCATGACCGTGCAATGTCACCATGTTTAGTCTTTTTTGTCTCGTCATGTGCCATCAGGCCTTCAGTGGATATTGGCAGCTGAACTCTTGATGAGTCCATCAGCACCCACTTAATTAGCTCGGGACAAAACAGTCACCCAATCCCACATGTGCTTTCAGGACCACACGGCAGAAGTCACAGAAGTCCCAGCACGCTGCATTGCTTAAACTGTCCTAAAATGGCCCTAAAGCTTCACATCATCTTGACAGCCTCCGTGTGAAACCAGGGGCCTGAATCCCAGAACCTAAGCCCCAAACCCAAAAAGCCGCAGTTTTGTGAGCAGGAGCCTGTCGGGAACATTGTCACGATGGTCACTTCCCTGGAAGACCGCTGGCTCCACTCCTACTTCCTGATGCCGAAGTGGATCACGGAGGACTCCTTTCCCAACCCTAAACCCCTAAACCCCTAAACCCTAAACCCTAGACCCCAAACCCCTAAACCCCGAGAACCCTAAAACCCTGAACCCGAAGGCCCCTCGGCTGAATTTACCACTTGTCTTCAACCCGTAGCTTCTCGGAGTTTCGGAAGGGAGCTGCGGCTCTCACGCCCTAGCTTTAGGGTTGAGGGGCCTGCGATCCCGGGGCCCCCATCCGCAAAGCCGACCTATTCCTCCGGAGGACCCCATGGCCACGGTTTGCCACGAGGATGAGCATGTGGAGGAGATGCTCAAGCGACGGGAACAGGCCCATCCCGAATTTGGGCTTCACTGTACCGCAGCCTCCGCCTAAACCCTAAACCCTAAACCCCAAACCGTAAACCCTATAAGTGTCCATGTGTTCTCCAGAGGGTCCAGTGGACCGGCCTTGGAATCGCTACAAAATCCGGCCTAATCTACCCTAAACCTCGTCAACTGCGGCGGGCTGACTGTCTTTTGCGTGCCGACTCACAACGAGTGGTGCCTCCGGGAAGAGTGATGAGGGAGAGAGGGCGACTGATGCAGGGGATAACAAGAATACTAAGAATGCCAATAATCGTAGTAACAAGAGTAACAATATAAGGCTGGTAGTAACTCATAATTGTAACAATCTTCATACCAATTTAGTAGTAAGCTCACTGGGTCTGCCAGTTGCATCTCGGGTAGGCAAAGTCTCACCGACACCTCTCACAGCAAGGCAGGAATGCCAACGAAACTCATGATCCTTTAGCGTGGTGTCGAACACGATGCACAACTATTTCGTTGTCGAACAAGCAGCACCGCAGACTTACTACGACGTCCTATCCCGAAACCCTAAAGCCCTAAACCCTGAAGCCCTAAACCCCTAAACCCGAAACCCTACACCTTTTTTCCTTCCTTGAGCCCACGGGTGCTACTTCGGACCTCGGCCTTCCTGTCACGGTCCGGCAGTGGGTTTAGGGTTCAGGCTTTAGAAATTTAATCTTAGGGCTGGGTTTAGGGCTAGGGGCTCAGGGTTTAGAGTTTAGGGTTTAGAGTTTAGGGTTTAGGGTTTAGGGTTAAGGGTTTAGAGTTTAGGGTTTAGGGTTTAGCGTGTAGAGGTTAAAGTTTAGGGTCCAAGGATCTGGGTTCTCCTGTCAGGGGCCGACATGGCCAATGCACATCGCGGAGAATGCCTTCGCCACCATCACGTTCCTGGAAGATGTCGGGACACTGGATGTAGTTTTTGCTTCCTGATGTCTATTGGGTTTCATCTATGAGTTATCACCAGTAAGATCGGGTGATTGTTGTTGCAATCGGGAAGTGTTTTTGTAGTGATGGCCCTTCATACATACTCCTCTAGTCCATGCATCGCACTTTCGGTTCGCGGAGCTTTCCAGGACCGGTCGCGACGACATCATCGACTGCCCACCTGACAAGCTCCCTGCGGGCTATGCCAGTCGCAAGAACTGAGAGAGTGCTTTAAGTCTATGAGGGGCGAGTTTAGATTGAAGTATTGGGATACAAGCAATAGTAAGTCTATGTCTAACATACCAGCATCCCACGCGGTGTGGCGCTTTGATCAGCCGGTAGGCAATGTCGGGACGTTGACGGTTTACATGCTGCCAGCTTTTGTCCTTGAAGCCACGCGCCCGGCAATACCGACGTCAAAGCAGAAGCCAGTGAGACAAAAAGCGAGAATCCTAAACCCTACACTCTGAAGGGAGGGGACCTTTTAATGGTCGAGCCTTATGCCGTGGCCCACAGCCGGAGCCCTTTCAGTTGAGGCCTGTAACAAAGATGCTGAAATGATTAGTAATGCTTTTCCTCACAGATCCTTAACAAGACCTCAAAAGAATCCTCAAAAGGCCTATTGTACTTGTTGAGCCCCCCCTGCCTGTGGTGGGGTAGAGCTTGGCGCCGGGGGCAGGTCACACGCTCTCGCAGCCTCCTCATGTGGAGGTTGGTAGGGTGTGGGGTTTATGTTTCTAACTTTCCGTCTCTTGGGGAGGTCTTTCTTTTGGCTGAGCACAGGTTGTTTAAAAAAGAATCTCAGTCTTCTCAAGTGATCCCCACCAGGGCCACTATCCCCTGTGCTGAGGGTAGGCTGGCATCTGTGCAGGTTTCCTGCTTGATGCAGCGTCGCAGAGTAAGACAGCTGTTCTCCCACGCCTACCCTTTCCTAGTCCTACTCCTGCTTCTACCTAGTCCTAGCTACTCTAGAACCGCTGCTACTACTACTACTACTACTACTGCTACTACTACTACTACTACTGCTACTACTGCTACTACTACTACTACTACTACTGCTATTACTACTACTACTACGACGACGACGACGACTACTACTACTACTACTGCTACTGCTACTACTACTACTACGACGACGACGACGACGACTACTACTACTACTACCAGTACTACTAGAACTACTGGTATTACTAGTACTAGTACTAGTACTAGTACTAGTACTAGTACTAGCAGTAGTTGTGGCAGTTGCAGTGGCAGTAGTAGTAGTAGTAGTAGTAGTAGTAGTACTACTACCACTACTATTTCTACTACTACTATTACCACTACTACTACTACCACCACTACTACTACTACTACTACTACTACTACTACTACTACTCTACTACTACTACTACTACTACTACTACTACTACGACACCACACGTTCAAACGTGGTGCTTTTGTGGATCCTGCTTGCTGTGCAATACGCCGTAGCAAACTCTTGCCTTTTTACTGCATCTTATGCCGTCAAGCCGCGCTGGTCCCGATTCCGGCCTTAGCACGCAGACTAGGGTTTCTTGATAGAGGACACAACGTCATATGATCCCGAACTATTCAATCCTGCAGTATTTGCCAGTGGCAGTGCCGGGCAAAATCCTGCAGGTCATCAGCGAGTTGGACGGGATCTGAAGGGCCTTATGAGCAATGCCTGCAGAGGTGCGAGAAACTCGAGCTCGAGTGGCAAAAATGTGCTGCAGTTCGATTTTGGTTCCATCTTGGGCCATGGGGTATGCTGATACATGTCTCTTGCATCCTAAGTTGGCATCATGCAGGGGGCCTGGGCATGTTGGAACACATTGAATCTGGACCTCTTTTTGCCAAGTCAAGGTGCATTCCTCGGACCGGCAAGCCACAGTGCTTAAGGTTGTTTCATCAGATGGCCTGCATTTTTTGGAATCGACCCCTTCTGAGCCTCTGCCCAACGCCAGCTCTCAAACTCTGCAAACTCTCGACCCCGGGCTCTCAGCATTCCCCGAAAGTCCCGACAGTGGCCTCAAAGCCGAACAGTAGCCTCAGAGCCCCCAAAACCCTAAACCCTAAACCCTAAACCCTAAACCCTTAAAAAAAAAAACCCCAAACCCTGAACCCCAAAACCCAAAACCCTAGACCCAAAACCCTAAACCCCAAAACCCTAAACCCGAAACCCAAAACCCAAAACCCTAAACCCTATAAACCCTATAAACCCTAAACCCTAAACCCAAAACATGTGTCTCGGCTGCTGCTACATGGAGCGGCTCCAGGGCTTAAAGGCGGGGGAGTGATGTCGCGGGTTCCCGGGTGCCGGGCTTGGGGGGTTCTTTCAGTCGCTCGGGTCCTTACTTGCAGGTTCGGTGTACTTGTATGGCGTACTTAACCTGCGATATAAGACCGCTAGAAGATGGTTGAGGTTAGCTTGTAATTCCACGCTGCTGGCTCGGGCGCCTGGATTTCTAGCCTTTGGGCCTAGTTCGGTTTGGCTCAAGGTTGGATGCTTGCAAACTTGTACGCTCAAGCAGGTCTTAAACGCGATGTCGAGCTAACTCTAAATATAAGGGTCGGAAGCCATGCTACCATGTGCCCCGAAACCCTACTGTTCTTATTGTTAAGGCCCCTGTATTCGCTACTTCGACGACCCGCAAAGCGCTGTGATTGCCAAAGGCTCTCAAAGAGGCAGAGGCTCGTTTGCAAAATGGGGGGCCTGGACAATCAGAATTCGGTTTCGGGTATATCATACCAAAATCATATTAAGGAACCACAAGGATTAATCATGGTAGGAAATGCGAGGGTGTATTGTACCATAATCATATTTCGGAGCCCCATGGAGCTTTCGATGGTCACTAAATGTGGTTCTGCGGAGTACGTGGTGTTCTGGCATGGCCGCCAACAGCGAAGCCGAAAGCCGAAGCCCAAATCTGAAGCCGAAGTAGGGTTTAGGGTTTAGGGTAATTCTGGAAACTATCGTATGTTGTGGAGACTAGCTGCTTTGACGCTGGCTTACTCTCGGCTTCAGCACGAAAAGCCGATGTGACGCCGAGGTGGCTGCAGAAAAAAACCTGGAATGCCAGCAGCTGGAGGTCGCGGGGCAAATCTTAAGTTTATGGTTTAGGCTTGGGGCTTTACCTAAAAAATCCCAAGGCTGATCTGCTTGGAGGTTGGAGGGCTGAGATTTCGGAGTTTAAAGTGGTGGGTTTTCCCGGTCATCAAGTTTTCTCCTTATCCAGGAACAGTACTCCCATTCACAGAGATTCAGGAGGCCGCAGGTCTGTCGGCAGTGTTATCTCATGCAGCGGCAGTGCCTAAGTACTAAGGCTGCCTCGGCTTGTTCAGGGTTGTTGAGAGTGACTTCCTTGGACATTTTAGTTGTTTACAAGCGTTCAGAGCAACTGTCAGATGAGCGGTGGCTGCCTTCTGCGTGTAGCTAAGTTTCGGGTTATTCAAACGTTGCACTACGTATCCACACAGCGAGACAGATTGTGCGGAAGCTCGCATCCACCACCCTTAGCTCTAAACGCGAAAAATCTAAACTCTCAGCCCTAAGCCCAAACCCGAACATACCCGAACAGCACTGCTTGAGGAGGCACGTCGCTGCGCCTCTGAGGGTTCAGCAGGTCGGTGTTCTCACAGAAGGTGCTTCTCTGTCTTACTTGTACTGCTCCCTATCTTCTTTTTTGGGGAAGTACTCAGAATCGGAATAGGTGTCTTTCCAGCTGCTGGAGGCCAGCTTCCATATGATTCGTTGAAGTGATGAACTAATGAAGGTACAGGTTGGGGCGATGCCTTTCATGTTGGGTACAAGCCCCAAGTCCCTAAGGTTGAGGGCTTTTGAGGCATTGAGATTGGATCGAGCTTTGCTTGCAACGGGTATCGGTTTCGGGGGTATGAATCTAAAGCTGCGTTTAAGGCTGTATGGTTCTGGTGCACAATACTTTTCTAAAGTAGAGTGAGAGAGGTCGAGAGAGAGCACAGGCTCGCTTCCATGTAAAGAAGCACGCCTCACAGGAACCTGATTATCGATACACTCTGGTATATTAGAGTAGATGCTAGTAAAAATTTGTTTCTCCCCCAAGCCCCGACATCCCCACCCCTCCGAAGACCCTGGCAGCTGGGAGGTGGCCCCTGAAGACTTGGAGCGGACGCGCAGCCGCCAGGGCCGCTTCTTTTGTGGGAGCGGGAGCGGATCGAGTTTTGGGTTTTGCAAGGATGTGTGAGTGAGTGTCTGTGTGTCGTGGATGCTAGCAAGAAACTAAACAAGCAGTTTTCATGTTGTTTTGCCCAGGCATCAGCGCTGTAGCTACCGAAGATCCTGAGCTGGCTTCTGAGAAAGGGGGGCCCTCCACCCAGACCCAGCCTCCGCGTCACCGAGTCATCGCTCCAGATCTGAGGTTTGCAGATGGTTTAGGAGGGTGCGTCTGCGATCTGCCCGTGCTTTCACAGGGTGTGCATCGTCACTTCCGAAGCAAACGCAGTTTCGGGTTGGAGGCGTGAGGCTTCAAGCCTGTGTTTGTCTTGAGGAGATGGTGTCTCGGGGCTCTGAGCCCCCTCTTAGACTTATTGATGTCGGGCTCACCGTGAAGTGGTGGGTTCCTTGGGGCTTCGGGGCATCGAAGAGCTCTGAAGCACAGCCCTCCGTCGGAGGTGCGGCGGTGCTTCCAAGCCTCCAAACGGTGCTGGCCTCGGAGCTTCGGGGCGAGAGGGCTTCTGGATGTTTCGGAGAGTTGCCCTCGTTTGATGAGCGGTCCAGCTGGCAGCAGCTACCAGGGGCCCAAAGATCTCCAAGTCCTCAGGGCTCCATTTCGGGTTTCAGGATCCTCTCGGCCGCTCCCCGCCTCCATGTTCGTGGCTGTCTCCGTCACTTCCTGGCTCCCGTCTGCTTGAAACAGAAGCGGAGGCTTGTGGAGGCTTCTTCTCCCCTTGCGCCGACAACGGCCAGCTCTGATTCCCTCCCTCACCAGAAGACAGCTCCTGCGGAAGCAAGTCCCACACCTTTTCTGGCGGCACGTTTGGTGAAGGGCCCGTACTAGCCAGCTGCCTGTTTTATCACAACGAGCTGACACACTAAGCCTTCAACATCAAAGTAACCGCATGCCCAATAAACCCTTCCATGAACGAATATTCGTCACTATCTCCAAAAATTGATGCATGATCTCTGGCGCCTAGGATCAACTGGGGGCCGTGGCAATGCCCGAAGCCGCCGAGCTGGCGAA